TCATGTCCTCTATGCTCTAACTACGAAAATATTTGATTTACAAATAAGGAATCCTACTTCGCGGAATTTCATTTATCACGGTAGGGTCTAGAACTGATTAACCGCGATAAACGAGGGTTCACTGTAATGCTTTGTGATCTTGACAAGAGTCCGGGAAACATTTCAAGGGGGGATCTAGTCTCTGAGGTCTGGGGACTCTGTGACAAATCTTCCCCCGTACCATGTGTAGCATTCTCTGACCACGTTTTTGTGTTCATGTCTCATGGGCACAGTGAAGAGGCTTGCATTGAGTGAGCTTCCCCTCCTTACTGAATCTTCAGCTTGCTTCTGTGCAGAGAGATGCCAGGGCTAGATAAAACATGATAGTAATAGATCCTATAAGAAAAGCAACCATAGCCAGCTGTCTTGAGGGCTTCTTATGTTCCAGGCAAAAAAGTTTGGACCCACTTTTGTATCATCTCAGAGCCTGGATAGTGGACATAGTTAAGCACTCAACTACCAACAGCAAGGTTGGCTGTTCTAATTCACCCAACCAGCATCAGAAGAAAGGTCCGGTGGACGATTGTAACCCATGAAAGGCGCCTCAGAAGAAAGGCTGGGTGATCTGCTTCAGAAAGCTCACCGTCTTGAAACTCCTTGGAGCACAATTCTGTTTCAATATGTACGACAGCGTCTACTCCGTGGCAATTAAAAATGCATTTTTTATATCATACTCTTTTTTTCTTTTGTATTGTTCTTAAAGTGGTTCTTTAAAACAGTTCTGTAGAAATATTTCAGAAGAATTCATGGATTTTGTCCATTTGTATGGGAAACTGGTATCGCTTGCTATTGCTGTTTCTTTTTTTTTTTTTTTCCTTTTTACAGGGGAGAGGGCGGACACAGTCCTGCACTACCACAAATTATGCAGTCTAGTTTCCCACATTTGGGGAAATCACAGGGGTCAGCACATCCGGAGTGCAATGTATAAGCCTCGCCCTGGGAAAACCACCTTCGTGATCATGGTATCTTCCCTGCCAGGGAAGTCGCTGTTTCAAATGCAAGTTCAGTCACCCTTCCAATCACAGGGCATCCTTTTCCACGCACCACCCAGATGCATCTCCTTTGGCCAGGCCCCCTTGCTGGCAGCTGCCCAGGACTCCCTGCTGGCCTTAATGGTCAGCGGGTGGACTTGTAGGAGAGTCGACAGTTTCTGGTCTCACCATGCTCCATGTCAAGGGAACTCACCCACATTTTGGCTGCCATTAAAGGAACAGAACTTAGAGGCAGCCCACACAGAACAGAACTTAGAGCCAGTCTCATGGACTCACTCCAGACCAGCACAATAAGGCGATAAAGTGGGTCTCTGGAAGGTCCCCAGTGCATGTAGGCAACATGCAGACACCCTACTGTGGTCTCTAGCCCCGAACTCACTGCCAGCCAGTGGATTCTGACTCAGAGCCTCTCCAGAGGGCAGGGTCAGATGGCACCTGTGGGCTTCTGAGACGGTGACTCTTCTATGTCCCTCACTGGGGCTAGTGGGTTCCCACTGATGACCTTGCCATTAATAGCCCAGTATGTAACCACTGCCCCACTGATGCTCCTCGGCCATAGTCTAGCAAGCGTGTGAAGCATGATGGGAAAGTCTGAACTGTTGCGACAATGGCCGGCATGCGGGTTGTTGGGAAATGATGCCGACACACTTGCTGGATACGGGGTTGCTCCCGACATTCAATGAGATTAAAATAATACTGATAAAACCCCACATTATCTGCAAGGCCCAATAAAGTAAAACACAAGAAAATGAGGTGAGCTGATCATAAGTCAGGTACTGGTGACCTTTCTGCATAAATGTTTCCCTTTGGTTGACATGACTGCTATAAGGCCAATGGACTGATCATTCTCAGTCCCGGGGCCAGGGCTGTTCTTGAGCAACACAGCTGCACTGACCAGTGGGGAGGGCCAGGGCCAGGCATGCTGCGCCTTGGCCCTTTGTGATCACATCAGAAGTTGGTGGGGGTGGGGGGCACGGTATGTGGCCCTGGAACCAGCCCTCCAGTGATGTTCCCACCTGCAGTGTTCACTGACGAGTAGCTGTGGGCCGAAGGCAGGGCCTGCGGCTAGGACTACAACTCTATGCTATTGTTGCTGTCCCTTCTGACTCACAACGACCCGAGGCACAGAACGAACCCCTGCCTGGCCCTGCCCTACTCTCACAACTGTGCTTCTGTTCCAGTCCGTCGATGCGGCCACTGTGTCCGTCCATCTTGTCAGCGACCTTCCTCTCTTCTGCTACCCCGCTGCTTTACTGAGCAGGATGTCCTTCTCCAGGGACTGGTCTCTCCTGACAACATGCCTAAAGTAAGGGAGACGACGTCTCACCATCCTTGCCTCTAAGGAACACTCTGGGCCGTACTTCTTCCAAACAAAAGATCAGTCAGTTCTAGGTGAGCGCTTTTCTTGTCCCCCTTTCACAGGTGAAGTGAAGTCATCCACCCAAGTCACACATTCAGAGGCCCAAGCAGCAGGTGCAAAGGCAAGGAGGTGGGTGGGAGGGCCAGGCCGTCTTTTGTTGGGGTGCCATGGCTGGGGGGCAGACTGCAGGTTGACCCTAAAGTCCCACTTACCCTGGATCTGTGAGGTGTGGGTGGGGCCTTTTACTCGATGTTGACTTATGACTATCAGAAGATAAGCAGAAAAGGAAGTCTGGTTTCTAATTTTATTCTCTGAAGCATTTCACCAAAAAGCCCCTAAGGTAGCCGGAAGTTGGAAGCCCTCAAAGTGGGGGAAGCCCTGGCCCAGCATGCAAAGAGATGGTTCCGGGCATGTAGAGGCGCAGGGAGGCAGTCCTGGCCGCCGCTCTCTGTCTTGGTCTCTGTTTCAAAGCAGTGATGGAGAGTTCTTCTAATTGGCAGTGTGATGCCCGCATGGCTCTGTGTTAGTGGCCTTATCCGGGGGCGTGGCCACTGCAGAGAAGGATAATGACAGGAAGCTGAACTGTAAGGAATCCTTCCTCAAGAAGCCTGTACCTGTTTGCCACTTGGTCTGAGCCTGGTGGCTTGCGTGTTGCCCTGATGCTGCACCATGCCATGGGAGTTTCCAATGCCATTCCGTACTGTGTGAGCAGGGCTTCCACACTAGGAAGAAAGACCCGGCGATGCACCTCTGAAAATCAGGTCACAAAAGCCTCATGGATCACAGCAGTCTATTTTCTGATGCGGTGCTGGGAGGCCCAGGCTAGAAGGTACCGGAAATATACTGGACTTGGTTGCAACAATGGACTGGAGCTAATCAGGGCCCACGAGCACGGTGCAGGACTGGGCAATGCTTTGCTCTCTTGTACCCGGGGTTGCTATGAATTGGTGTTAACTTGAGGCACCTAACAGCTACTGGCTTCCGAATCCCCAGCCTCCCATGCTCTCCCTTCACTCCATCAACAAGGACCTTGTTTGAATGGGAAGATTTATTTCACTCAGGCAATGGCTTTCTGTGGGCATCTGTTTCGTTGAAGGACTTATCCCCGTGGCATTTAAAAGGAGAGTGAACTTGAGTGCAGCTGGCTGTCATTCAATCCCTTCTGTAGGGACATCCCCAAGTGTTTGGAGGGGACCAATGTTGGCACTGCTCAGCTAGATAAGAAAGTTGAATCCCAGGTTGCTTCATGATTTTTCTGGAGTTCAAGGTCTTGGCTTTACCATTTATGTATGGCCCTTTAAAATCCTCCAAAACAGGTTTTGCACCCTGTAGCTCCTTGCAGATAAGAATCTCGGAGTGGTACAGAGGGTTACCCTACTCATCTGCTAACAGAAGGTTGGAGTTTGGAGTCTACCCAGAGGTGTCTCCATAGAAAGATCTGGTGACCTGCTTTGTTGACCTCAGCCATCGAAAAGCCTTTGGAGCGCAGCTCTGTACTGACCCACGTGCGGCCCCAATGAACTGGAAATCAATTCAATGGCAAGTGGAAAAGAGAGTCCAGGTTTCAGCCTTTCCTTGTTCTTGAAATGGTTCTTGGTGTTTCTGTCCTAAGGTTTTTGGCTCTCTTACAAGGACACAACTAAAAAGACTTTAGGGTGTAGAGCTACAGGAGGACCTGCTGCTCTTCAAACCACTTTTTATTTTATTGCTATTAAACAAACATTTATTTTAGATGCATGGCCTGTTAGGCCCTGGGCTAGATGCCCAGAGATGGAGAAGACCTGGTCTGGTTTTGCAGCTGTTCAGAGTTTTCTGATTACACAACGTAAAGGGGACTGCTACCAAGGAAAGACCCCAATAAGCCGAGTGAGGCCAGAGCTCTGAGAAGCTTGTAAATCCCAGGAGAAAGTTAAGACAAAGCTTTGTTTCTAATTATATTTTCTAGGGAGAGGGTCCGTAACATTCAGTGGATCCTTTCATTACTATCATGCCTTTGCAGTTCTGTGTTCTTGTGTTTCATGGGAAGGTGTACATAGCAGTGTAAGCTCCCATGTGGCAATGCCTACAAAAGTTTTCAGGGACACGGGGCTCACTCTGTTACTGTGTGTGAGTGCTCTCATGATTTCTGTTCTAGTTGTCCCATTTGCATTCAATGGATTCTCGAAGAACCCAGAAACAAAAACATTATAGGCACACGGCCTCTGATTGTAGTGAGAAATTTAGATAGCCTTTCTCTGGCTACTCACCAGGCAACCCTGCTCAGCCCTAGTGGACTGGCTGCATTGTGAGACAAGTCCTCATGCCTCTAACTATTGACACAGACTTCTTAAAGCTGGAGATAATGGATGTGTCTGCAGCACCTGATCTTGTACCTGGGAAGGTCTTGCACCTTGCACAGTCCATACCTGTGTGTCTTGCACCCCATAGAACCCTCATGGATGTAGAGTTGATTCTGGCTCATAGGGACCTGTGCAGGGTTTCCAAGGCTGTGACGCTTTATGGGAGCAGATAGCCTCATCTTCTTCCCACAGAGTGACTTGTGGATTTGAACCACTAACTTTGTGGTTAGCATTCTGATGTTTATGCAACAGACCCACAGGGGTCCCTTCACCAATAGGTACTCCACAAATCTGGGTGGATACACTTTGCTCCAGCCTTTCCATCCATCTCTGATTCGGTTCCATTGCACGTTACCGTGAACAATCCTTGCTGCTCTTTGGACAGGGTGAGAATAAAGAACATTCCTTCATTGGGTTGTGCCTTGAGCACCCGTAACAGGCACACAGGTCTCTCTCTCTCTCTGAAGATCTTTGACACTCACATCCTTCATGCTTTGTTCCTAAACTATCATGTGGAGAGAGATGTTTGGAAACCATATTAATAATAGCTCATAGCATGTATGCAGTGCATTCCATTTCAAAGGCATTTATAAACATCAAAAGATGAAAGCTTGCACCACCCACCTAGGGGAAAGGGAATGCTAACCACCCCCATGTCCATTGCTGGGAGAAGGTCATGGAACCTGAGAACATGAAGGGGTGTCAGAGTACATTGGCCTACCCTCCAGTCCCTTTCTGATGGAGTCCATGCAAACTCTGGCCTACTGTGACTGTCAATCTGTCTTTATAGATATCCCCTTTCTTTGCTTCCTCTGGGGCAGGGTGAGAGGGCAGATTCATGCTTTTGGTTGTTTTAATGTATAAAAGGTGAGGAGGCTTGTTATAGATCAATAGATTACTACCACACTAGGGTCGATTGAGTCCTGTGATCACTTCCACCACCCCCTCCCTGCCCTCACCCTCCTCTCCTTGCTGCCTTTCTCAGACGTAATGACACCCAGAATTTCACTTCTAGACCTCTGCTGCTCGCAACTGCACAGCAGTTTTCCACGTTGTTATCCTTGAAACTGCTGCTGCTCTGCCTGAGACAAGTATATTCCACTCCCTGAAACATAGCCTTGACCAAGCTGCCATTTCCCTTTCGTGTAGCAATGATGGTTAGCTGCCCCCTCAAGTCCATTCCGAGTCACGGCAACCCCACGTGTGCAGAGGAGAACACCTCCTTGGATTTTCAGGGCTGTGACCTTTCAGAGCACATTGCCTGGCCTGTCTTATGAGCCACCTCTGGGTGGATT